TGTGTGTGTGTGTGTTGTTGTTTTTTTTTTTTTAATTATTTTTGTCATATTCTCGGTGCAACTGCAGCTGATTTGTAGTGTGTATTTTGTTGAATATGTTGTCGAGAGAGCTTGATGTGGGTGTGTATATATATGAGATTAATGAATCTCTCTCTTTCAATCTCACCTCTCTCTCTCTCTCTCTCTCTATATATATATATATATATATATATATATATCAGAGACCTTATATATAAACATTTAATTTATTATTAATAATCCTATATTGCTTAAGACTGCCTTAAAATATTATGTTACAGAAATAGCCTGGTCTTTACAATTTTCTCTTCGTTTTTCGAAACATAATCTTTGTTAAAGTTATAGACATACATACATATATATATATATATATATGTGTGTGTGTGTGTGTGTGTGTGTGTGTGTGTGTGTGTGTGTGTGTGTGTGTGTGTGCGCGTGCCCATGAGTGTGAGCATAGACATTGAGAAAGAAAGAAAGAGAGATAGAAATAGATAAATGCAGTTGCCGAATTATGCATAAAAGAAACTTCTTTTGAAAACATCAAATCAGGCTATTTTCATTGGGTGAGATGCTGGGTTTGGACAAATAATTCATCCGAATGTCTCCATTCTGGACTTTTCGCCAATCCAGATAAATAACTGGGAATCAATATTTCAAGATTTTAATTGTCTTCTCTGCACAGATGAGTTTGTCACTCTCCGTCCGTTATTATTCTGATCAAATTTACCCATCATGAAGCACTTTTGAAACAGTCTCGTTTGTCTGTCTGTAGGCTATAGAGGTAAAGAACGATGAAAGCCTATTCCCAACACTTCACTTTGTCAGAAAGTTACAAGTGTAAGGAACATTATCTGCCAGGATCTGTGGGACTAGTTGAAGTCCGCTGCCCTCTTAATAGGCATTTTTTGTCTGGCACAGGGAAAGACATCCGGAACTACTTTGCTAGATATCCCCCTACTGAAGACAATCCACTTGCCTACTGACATCCATATAATATAATTTTCAAATTAAAAAACTGTAATCCAAGCATTATATATATATATATATATATATATATATATATATAAACTACGCCAACATTTTGTAACCAGATATAATTCAAATTGTTTAACGGTCAGTTCATATTCAGCACCTGAAGACTGCGCTGTGCCTGAAACTTAGAGACGTGCTAGCGGCGTGGTATAATATGTATATTTAATAATATACTTAATAGTTCTGTTATATTATCTGAAGCACTGTTTTATTAACACCAGCACAATATGTACGATATATTATATTTATAAATTTACATTTGTTCCTTTTATTCGGACATTGTTCTAGATGTTATAATGTACTTATATTTTGTACCCTAACCATCACTTGAATATGGAATCTATTACCTGGGACTATTTCCTCAAAAAAACATCATAGTTCCTAATAAAAGAGTATATAAGCTGCTTCTTTTAAACAAGACCGGGAGCGTCATAAAACAAGATACCAAACTTTACGGATTTACGTCTCAAAAAACGCCTCTATGGGACGACCTATTATTGCACTCCAAAAAAGATCTATTATTCGTAATAGGAAATATTAAATTCGCGAATATTGCCAACGATCTGGACGTGGCAACGATGAAAAAAATCCGATAAAATCTGATAAGATGCGGAACCATTATAGAGTCGATGCGGATATGTAATCCATTAAGAAGAGATTAATAAGTTCTACAAAAAGACATCCAATAGCTGGGAAGCAGCATCAACAGTGAGGCCTAGAAAATAGCTACAGAAATTAAAATTGATGATAGGATCCATAAATTCTACAAATGTTGAAAATAATCTAAGTTGCCATAATAATAGAATTCCAACTAAATCGCATGCTTCCGCTGAATCATACGCACCCAAACTATATTGCATTCCGCGTTATTTTTTTTGGTCCTCAAATAACCATTATGGAAAAGTATGAATTTTTGTGCATGTTTAATTAATTGCGGAATTTAATATAGCTTTGGGTGCGTATGATTCAGCGGAGGCATGCGATTTAGTTGGAACTCTATTATTATGGCAACTTAGATTATTTTCAACATCAAGGATACCGGACTTTACTGCTTTGAATATACGCTCTTTTAGCGCTAGAGGGCGTCGTCAGTGATGTTATAGAGAGAATGGTTAAATATTTATCCGTAAAACTCGCCCACGAAAGATAAACGGATAGTGAAAAAACATGGAAAAATCTTTTAAATAGCACGAACTAAATATTACCACCACTACCAGCAGCAATGATAAAGTGATCAACTTTCTCGATGTAACATCAGACCTGAATAGTGTTTTTTTTATAAACCATACTCAAAGAACATATATAACCACAGATACGTTAGTAAATATCAAACCACTACAATAAAATTCTAGATAATTTACGTAAATCTGTTCAAGTTTGATTATCTACAAATTCCAGCATAAAGGAAATATTTGTTAAGTCTAAAGTAAATATATACAAGCTGTAGAACTGGGCCATCATAAAATAAGTTTAGAGTATTTAGAAATAAGTAAAGAATGTCAAAATAATCAAAAACACCGCAAAGACGACATTATGTGGCTTAATCCACCTTTTAAGCGTAATGTCAAAAACTAATATCGGAAGAAATTTTAAAAAATTAATCCAATATATAAATATCTGCTTAAATATGTTGAAGTAGATTTAGATAAAAAATAATTTTTTAATTCATTAATTGTTAATCTTTATTTTTAATTCTATTTTTTTTTATTATTAATTTTTAATTGTAATTTTAATTTCAATTAATTTTTGATTATTTATAATGCTACTTACGGTCTTAATTTTTAATAAATTACTATGAAATATATATATTCGCGTTTTAATAAGAACACGTAATCTCCCTTTAGTTATTTAATTTACAAAAAACTATTTATGAATATTCCCCCACTCAAATGCATAATTTTCTTTTTTTACATACATATAAAAATCCGGCTTGTTTTAACTGTCTAATATAATTTTCAAATTTTTAAATTAAAAGCACTGTAATCCGAGCACACTATATATCTACGCCCGCCAACATTTTATTAACCAGATATATTATAATATAAAACTGTGTAAAAGTCAGTTCATAATCAGCAACTGAAGATTGCGTCGTGCATGAAACTCAGAATCGTGCTAGCGGTTAGGGATATATTCATTTACTAATATATATATACACTTGGGAAAGTTGTGAAACCTCTTCTTCTCTCTCCAGCTATGGGTAAATAGCAGGACAGACTGGGTTCTATAGCCTTGGATGGCAACTGGTCTAGCAGAAGGACAACTGTGAATTCAAAACCTGCGGAGGGTCGTTTGGGGACCTTGTGGAACTTAGTGCACCACGTCTCTGTATTCGGCCCGTTCAAAAAGCGTGGATGGTCCTGCACGAAAACTTCACCACTATAAACAAATCTCATGTGCTGTTGTCGGGCTGTCGGTTTCCTAGAAATTGATCTGCTCAGGATATATATATATATATATATATATATATATATATATATATATATATATGTGTGTGTGTGTGTGTGTGTGTGTGTGTGTGTGTGTGTGTGTGTGTGTGTGTGTGTGTGTGCTTTCCCGTCGATTTCGGCTTATGAGGGAAAAACAAAAAGTTCGGGTGTTCATGCATAGTTTGACATTTAAGTCCCGACAGTGATTTGCATACAAATTCCACAAGTTGAGAAATGTGTGAGTATTGCGAGACGTATTTGCTGGTAGAGCTGATGATGCCTGAGTCCTGGTTAATCTGAGGCTTTTCATTGATCTTGATACCATTTTGACATCTGCTTCTGTACTTTTGTCGATCCAGGACGATTGTGTCGAATGTTGAATAAGTTAGATTGATAGTTACAAAATTACACTTCTTTTGGAGATTATACATCAGCCACAGCTGTCGACATTCCACTTTTTTCTGTATCATGTTGGCTTTACACGAGGACTTATAGATTAAATGAAGTATGTAGGCTCAAATTAAAAATGTCTAAAATAATATCGATTACATAGTTAGATACTTTCAACTCTACCATCTACGAAACACCATTTTCTGTCTATTTAATTAACTTACATCGGTACTTAGCCAGGTAGTGGGTTTGGAGGTAGAAATTATAATTAAAACTCTTTACTTGATTGACTGACATAACTTAATCCATCGCTCTTTATTTACATCTGACAATTCATAAATCTGTTTGGTAAATAATGAAATAGTCTTTCCAGCGCGCTGATTATCTTCTTTGCTTCTCTGACCTCTATACCAGAGCAGCCATATTGATTCTCCCTGCGTACTCTATCATTATGGCCTTGAGTCTCACAAAGCTTACCTTTATAAATAACTATTTACAAATTCCATGGCCGTCATCTTTATGTAGAATAGGCACTGACAAAATAAATGAAAATATTTATAGCGAAAAATGTAGATAAAAATAATAATAAAAGTAACAACAATGCCAACTTGGGTGACTTAATTTTGGAAATATGAATACTAAAAACGTCAAACACTCGTCACAGAGTGACAGGTGATACAAAAATGGGTAAATATTTACCAGTGGCCCGGCAAAGCTTATTTACACTTGGCCAATTTCCCTCTTGTACTTTTCCGACTAATTAGTTTTATGGAAATTGCAAATCGGGCGGTGTCAGTTTGGATTTGTTGATCTGCAGGTGCGGGAGTGGGGATCCAGTGGGATCGCTTTTTTTTGTTTTGCTTTGTTTTATTATGTTTTTTTTTTTTTTTTTTTCAGGATAAGGAAGATGTTAGCGCGCGAGGGAGCCACCCTGAAAGGTCGACCTGTCATGCTATGCAAACATCCATCTCATGATAATCGGACGAGAGACGGGAAGGAGAATCAAATTCTAAAAAAAAAGAAATAAAAGTTTTACGAATAAAAAAAAATCCGCGAAGAAGTAATATAAACAAAGAAAAGCTTGAAGAAAAAAAACTGAAATATACTGATGTGAACACTTCATGCAAAGTAGTTCTACGTGGGCAAATAATGAACAAGTCTGATGGGGCGTGAGTATTCGCTCTGTGCGGTGACATTGGTTTTCAATTGCAGTTCTGGTAGAGTTCCAGAATCAGTTAAATTTAGTAAATGCCAAAATATAAGGAACAAACCAGTGAGGATAATGGGAAGTAGAAATGGTTGTAATTTGGGCAGGGTTTGAACGTACAAAAATGTAAATATAAATTTAATAAAGATAAAGAAAGAAGGAAGATGTAGTGAATGAGGATAGAGAGTGAGGTGAATGAAGATATAGTGAGAGAGGTGATAGAAGATAGATAGAGAGAGAGAGAGGTGAAAGAAAATAGAGAAGTAACAGAAGATAGAGAGAGAGGTGAAAGAAGATAGCGAGAGAAGTGATAGAAGATAGAGAGAGAGGTGAAAGAAGATAGAGAGAGAAGTAACAGAAGATAGAGAGAAAGAAGTGTTTGAAGATAGAGAGAGAGGTGAAAGAAGATAGAGAGAAAGAAGTGTTTGAAGATAGAGAGAGAGGTGAAAAGAAGATAGAGAGAAAGAAGTGATACAAGATAGAGGGAGGTGAAAGAAGATAGAGAGGGAGGTGAAAGAAGATAGAGAGAAAGAAGTGTTTGAAGATAGAGAGAGAGGTGAAAAGAAGATAGAGAGAAAGAAGTGATAGAAGATAGAGGGAGGTGAAAGAAGATAGAGAGGGAGGTGAAAGAAGATAGAGAGGGAGGTGAAAGAAGATAGAGAGAAAGAAGTGTTTGAAGATAGAGAGGGAGGTGAAAGAAGATAGAGAGGGAGGTGAAAGAAGATAGAGAGGGAGGTGAAAGAAGATAGAGAGAAAGAAGTGTTTGAAGATAGAGAGGGAGGTGAAAGAAGATAGAGAGAAAGAAGTGTTTGAAGATAGAGAGAGAGGTGAAAGAAGATAGAGAGAAAGAAGTGTTTGAAGATAGAGAGAGAGGTGAAAGAAGATAGAGAGAAAGAAGTGTTTGAAGATAGAGAGAGGGTGAAAGAAGATAGAGAGGGAGGTGAAAGAAGATAGAGAGGGAGGGTGAAAGAAGATAGAGAGAAAGAAGTGTTTGAAGATAGAGAGAGGTGAAAGAAGATAGAGAGAAAGAAGTGTTTGAAGATAGAGAGAGAGAAAGAAGATAGAGAGAAAGAAGTGTTTGAAGATAGAGAGAGAGGTGAAAAGAAGATAGAGAGAAAGAAGTGATAGAAGATAGAGGGAGGTGAAAGAAGATAGAGAGGGAGGTGAAAGAAGATAGAGAGGGAGGTGAAAGTAGATAGAGAGAAAGAAGTGTTTGAAGATAGAGAGGGAGGTGAAAGAAGATAGAGAGGGAGGAAAGAAGATAGGAGGTGAAAGAAGATAGAGAGAAAGAAGTTTGAAGATAGAGAGGGAGGTGAAAGAAGATAGAGAGAAAGAAGTGTTTGAAGATAGAGAGAGAGGTGAAAGAAGATAGAGAGAAAGAAGTGTTTGAAGATAGAGAGAGAGAGGTGAAAGAAGATAGAGAGAAAGAAGTGTTTGAAGATAGAGAGAGAGGTGAAAAGAAGATAGAGAGAAAGAAGTGATACAAGATAGAGGGAGGTGAAAGAAGATAGAGAGGGAGGTGAAAGAAGATAGAGAGAAAGAAGTGTTTGAAGATAGAGAGAGAGGTGAAAAGAAGATAGAGAGAAAGAAGTGATAGAAGATAGAGGGAGGTGAAAGAAGATAGAGAGGGAGGTGAAAGAAGATAGAGAGGGAGGTGAAAGAAGATAGAGAGAAAGAAGTGTTTGAAGATAGAGAGGGAGGTGAAAAGAAGATAGAGAGGGAAAAAGAAGATAGAGAGGGAGGTGAAAGAAGATAGAGAGAAAGAAGTGTTTGAAGATAGAGAGGGAGGTGAAAGAAGATAGAGAAAAGAAGTGTTTGAAGATAGAGAGAGAGGTGAAAAAGAAGATAGAGAGAAAGAAGTGTTTGAAGATAGAGAGAGAGGTGAAAGAAGATAGAGAGAAAGAAGTGTTTGAAGATAGAGAGAGAGGAAAGAAGATGAGAGGGGAGGTGAAAGAAGATAGAGAGGGAGGTGAAAGAAGATAGAGAGAAAGAAGTGTTTGAAGATAGAGAGAGAGGTGAAAGAAGATAGAGAGAAAGAAGTGTTTGAAGATAGAGAGAGAGGTGAAAGAAGATAGAGAGAAAGAAGTGTTTGAAGATAGAGAGAGAGGTGAAAAGAAGATAGAGAGAAAGAAGTGATAGAAGATAGAGGGAGGTGAAAAAGAAGATAGAGAGGGGAGGTGAAAGAAGATAGAGAGGAGGTGAAAGAAGATAGAGAGAAAGAAGTGTTTGAAGATAGAGAGGGAGGTGAAAAAGAAGATAGAGAGGGAGGTGAAAGAAGATAGAGAGGGAGGTGAAAAGAAGATAGAGAGAAAAAGAAGTGTTTGAAGATAGAGAGGGGAGGTGAAAGAAGATAGAGAGAAAGAAGTGTTTGAAGATAGAGAGAGAGGTGAAAGAAGATAGAGAGAAAGAAGTGTTTGAAGATAGAGAGAGAGAGGTGAAAGAAGATAGAGAGAAAGAAGTGTTTGAAGATAGAGAGAGAGGTGAAAGAAGATAGAGAGAAAGAAGTGTTTGAAGATAGAGAGAGAGGTGAAAAGAAGATAGAGAGAAAGAAGTGATAGAAGATAGCGGGAGGTGAAAGAAGATAGAGAGGGAGGTGAAAGAAGATAGAGAGAAAGAAGTGTTTGAAGATAGAGAGGGAGGTGAAAGAAGATAGAGAGAAAGAAGTGTTTGAAGATAGAGAGGGAGGTGAAAGAAGATAGAGAGGGAGGTGAAAGAAGATAGAGAGAAAGAAGTGTTTGAAGATAGAGAGGGAGGTGAAAGAAGATAGAGAGAAAGAAGTGTTTGAAGATAGAGAGAGAGGTGAAAGAAGATAGAGAGAAAGAAGTTTTTGAAGATAGAGAGAGAGAGGAAAAAGAAGATAGAGAGAAAGAAGTGTTTGAAGATAGAGAGAGAGGTGAAAAGAAGATAGAGAAAAGAAGTGATACAAGATAGAGGGAGGTGAAAGAAGATAGAGAGGGAGGTGAAAGAAGATAGAGAAAAAGAAGTGTTTGAAGATAGAGAGAGAGAAAAAGAAGATAGAGAGAAAAGAAGTGATAGAAGATAGAGGGAGGTGAAAGAAGATAGAGAGGGAGGTGAAAGAAGATAGAGAGGGAGGTGAAAGAAGATAGAGAGAAAGAAGTGTTTGAAGATAGAGAGGGAGGTGAAAGAAGATAGAGGGGAGGTGAAAAGAAGATAGAGGGAGGTGAAAAGAAGATAGAGAGAAAGAAGTGTTTGAAGATAGAGAGGGGAGGTGAAAGAAGATAGAGAGAAAGAAGTGTTTGAAGATAGAGAGAGGTGAAAGAAGATAGAGAGAAAGAAGTGTTTGAAGATAGAGAGAGAGGTGAAAGAAGATAGAGAGAAAGAAGTGTTTGAAGATAGAGAGAGAGGTGAAAGAAGATAGAGAGGGAGGTGAAAGAAGATAGAGAGGGAGGTGAAAGAAGATAGAGAGAAAGAAGTGTTTGAAGATAGAGAGAGAGGTGAAAGAAGATAGAGAGAAAGAAGTGTTTGAAGATAGAGAGAGAGGTGAAAGAAGATAGAGAGAAAGAAGTGTTTGAAGATAGAGAGAGAGGTGAAAAGAAGATAGAGAGAAAGAAGTGATAGAAGATAGAGGGAGGTGAAAGAAGATAGAGAGGGGAGGTGAAAGAAGATAGAGAGAAAGAGGTGAAATAGAAGATGAGAGAGAAAGAAGTGTTTGAAGATATAGAGGGAGGTGAAAAAGAAGATAGAGAGGAGGTGTTTGAAGATAGAAAGAAGATAGAGAGGGAAGGTGAAAGAAGATAGAGGTGAAAGAAGAAGAAAGTGTTTGAAGATAGAGAGAGAGGTGAAAGAAGATAGAGAGAAAGAAGTGTTTGAAGATAGAGAGAGAGGTGAAAGAAGATAGAGAGAAAGAAGTGTTTGAAGATAGAGAGAGAGAGGTGAAAGAAGATAGAGAGAAAGAAGTGTTTGAAGATAGAGAGAGAAAAGAAATAGAAGATAGAGAGAAAGAAGTGTTTGAAGATAGAGAGAGAGAGAGATGAGAAAAGAAGATAGAGAGAAAGGGAGTGATAGAAGATAGAGAGGGAGGTGAAAGAAGATAGAGAAAGAAGTGTTTGAAGATAGAGAGATGAAAGAAGATAGAGAGAAAGAAGTGTTTGAAGATAGAGAGGGAGGTGAAAGAAGATAGAGAGAAAGAAGTGTTTGAAGATAGAGAGGGAGGTGAAAGAAGATAGAGAGGGAGGTGAAAGAAGATAGAGAGAAAGAAGTGTTTGAAGATAGAGAGGGAGGTGAAAGAAGATAGAGAGGGAGGTGAAAGAAGATAGAGAGAAAGAAGTGTTTGAAGATAGAGAGGGAGATGAAAGTAGATAGAGAGAAAGAAGTGTTTGAAGATAGAGAGAGAGGTGAAAGAAGATAGAGAGAAAGAAGTTTTTGAAGATAGAGAGAGAGGTGAAAGAAGATAGAGAGAAAGAAGTGTTTGAAGATAGAGAGAGAGGTGAAAGAAGATAGAGAGGAGGTGAAAGAAGATAGAGGGAGGTGAAAAAGAAGATAGAGAGGGAGGTGAAAGAAGATAGAGAGAAAGAAGTGTTTGAAGATAGAGAGAGAGGTGAAAGAAGATAGAGAGAAAGAAGTGTTTGAAGATAGAGAGAGGTGAAAGAAGATAGAGAGAAAGAAGTGTTTGAAGATAGAGAGAGAGGTGAAAAGAAGATAGAGAGAAAAAGAAGTGATAGAAGATAGAGGGAGGTGAAAGAAGATAGAGAAAGAGGTGAAAGAAGATAGAGAGAAAGAAGTGTTTGAAGATAGAGAGAGAGGTGAAAAGAAGATAGAGAGAAAGAAGTGATAGAAGATAGAGGGAGGTGAAAGAAGATAGAGAGGGAGGTGAAAGAAGATAGAGAGAAAGAAGTGTTTGAAGATAGAGAGAGAGGTGAAAGAAGATAGAGAAAAAGAAGTGTTTGAAGATAGAGAGAGAGGTGAAAAGAAGATAGAGAGAAAGAAGTGATAGAAGATAGAGGGAGGTGAAAGAAGATAGAGAGGGAGGTGAAAGAAGATAGAGAGAAAGAAGTGTTTGAAGATAGAGAGGGAGGTGAAAGAAGATAGAGAGAAAGAAGTGTTTGAAAATAGAGAGGGAGGTGAAAGAAGATAGAGAGAAAGAAGTGTTTGAAGATAGAGAGGGAGGTGAAAAGAAGATAGAGAGGGAGGTGAAAGAAGATAGAGAGGGAGGTGAAAGAAGATAGAGAAAAGAAGTGTTTGAAGATAGAGAGGGAGGTGAAAGAAGATAGAGAGGGGAGGTGAAAGAAGATAGAGAGGGAGGTGAAAGAAGATAGAGAGAAAGAAGTGTTTGAAGATAGAGAGGGAGGTGAAAGAAGAGAGAGGGAGGTGAAAGAAGATAGAGAGGGAGGTGAAAGAAGATAGAGAGGGAGGTGAAAGAAGATAGAGAGAAAGAAGTGTTTGAAGATAGAGAGGGAGGTGAAAGAAGATAGAGAGAAAGAAGTGAAAGAAGATAGAGAGAGGTGAAGATATAGTGAGAGAGGTGATAAAAGATAGATAGAGTGAGAGGGGAGTGGAAGAAAATATAGAGAGAAGTAACAGAAGATAGAGAGAGAGGTGAAAGAAGACAGGGAGTGAGAAGAAAGAAGATAGAGAGAGAAGGGAAATGATAGAGAGAAAGAAGTGTTAGAAGATAGAGAGATAGAGAGGGGAAAGAAGATAGAGACAAAGAAGTGAAAGAGAGAGGTGAAAGAAAGCGAGAGAAGTGATAGAAGATAGAGAGAGAGGTGAAAGAAGATAGAGACAAAAGTGAAATAAGTTAGAGAGCTCAAAGTAATAAGGAATACGCTATGTCAGATATTATTATGCATGTGAATATTGTGCAACTAAAGAATGCGGACGTGTCCGCCAATCCAACGGAAGGCGGCTGGTAGTGCGACGCTCCCCACAAAAAAAAAAAAAATCCCTTAAAAAAATTCTGGTCGAAAACACTTAAATTCTATATAAATTACAATACTGAAAACTGAAGGCTCCCCCAGTAGAGCGACGCTCTTCCAAAAACCTTTGAGAAAAATTCTGATCGAAAAAAATAAAATACTATATAAATTGCATTACTGGAAACATCTCACTGTATATGAAACATCTTGCTCAGAATATCAACAACACCATATTTAACAGTAGGAATGGTGCGTTGTTAGTTTTTAATGTCTAATGGATGTCAGTTATCCGTTATCTCCTGTTAATTTCCCTCTCCAATTTCTCCAGCGCCTTAACCAGGTATTTAACTCACACAATTTGGGTCCTCTCACTGGATGTAACTAACGCCTTTATCCACCGTGCCATGTATCCTTGAGGACACATAGCACAGACCTGGCTCGTGGAAGTAGAACACTCTACCTCAGTGAGCGAAATAAAAGGTACAGTTCAATATTCCAACCACCTTAAGAAGGTCGGAGCGTACAACGCCCGAAACGTTGTAATAAATATGGCGATAAAATGAAGACAGCAGTCCGAATAATGTAAATAGTGTACATAATACCTCATCTCAGGAATATAGACAGATGCTAAAGAAATATGTTTATTATGAAGAACATTAAAAAGACATGAATATAACTAAGCAATTAATGCTTAAGTAAATAACAGAATCAGAAAGTTGAAAACTTTAAAAATTACATGCAAATTGATTTCTTCTTAGCTGTATATTTTATGGGTAAATTTCGACGTTATTATTTACATAATATTTATTGTAACATATGAATCTTTGTTGTTTATCCAAACATTTGAACGGATATTATTGTTTTTAATTTCGAAAGAATTTCCATGTTGATATTTCAAAATAATTTTCTATGTTCTTTTCATCTTCCCAGTAAGAACATTATGGAGAAAAAATGTTGGACGAAAGAGGAAGGCGAATATTAAATACCCTCCTTAAGCAAACATTAATATAAGGAAGGGAAAAATTAAACAAACAAGATATTATCAAAAAAACACAAACGTTTAAAACACCGTTTGACGATTTCTAAATTGCGACAGTAAAAAAGAAAATAACTCTATATATCATATATTATTTCGCTTTCTGAATGGAAACATACATAAACCTTGATTTTGTTTTGTTCTGTTTTTACAGAAGTTATCATTGGTGAAATTGTAATGCAATGTTCTCGGCGAGACAGTATAACACTTGTATCTAATGAGCGAGTGATGATGAAACAAAAAATACTGCTAACTTGAACGCTAACTCCTGTCTTCCACTCTGTGCCACACTGCACGAATTCAAATTAATTTTGCAGATCGAAACACAGTGTCCATTTATATATCTTTGTCTTCTGCTGAACAGAAGTGGCAGAAAGGTCATTACAGCAATAATGAGCCGATTATTTTATCGAATATTCTGAAGAGCAAACTATCATAAATATTTCCGTTGTACATTCTCATGTAATTAGCAAATGCAGTCGTGGCCGGACATTGGGCCGACGGACATTGGGCCAACGGACATTGGGCCGAGAGACATTTGGCCAAACGGACATTTGGCCGACGGACATTGGGTCGACGGACATTGGGCTGACGGACATTGGGCCGAGAGACATTTGGCCGAGAGACATTTGGCCGAACGAACGTTTGGCCGACGGACATTGGGTGGACGGACATTGGGCTGACGGTCATCGGGCCGAGAGACATTTGGCCGAACGGACATTGGGTCGACGGACATTGGGCTGACGGACATTGGGCCGAGAGACATTTGGCCGAGAGACATTTGGCCGAGAGACATTGGGCCGAACGAACGTTTGGCCGACGGACATTGGGTCGACGGACATTGGGCCGACGGACATTGGGCCGAGAGACATTTGGCCGAACGGACATTTGGCCGACGGACATTGGGTCGACGGACATTAGGCTGACGGACATTGGGCCGAGAGACATTTGGCCGAGAGACATTTGGCCGAACGAACGTTTGGCCGACGGACATTTGGTCGACGGACATTGGGCTGACGGACATTGGGCTGACGGACATTGGGCCGAGAGACATTTGGCCGAACGGACATTTGGCCGACGGACATTGGGTCGACGGACATTGGGCTGACGGACATTGGGCCGAGAGACATTTGGCCGAACGGACGTTTGGCCGACGGACATTGGGTCAACGGACATTGGGTCGACGGACATTGGGCTGACGGACATTGGGCTGACGGACATTGGGCCAACGGACATTGGGCCGAGAGACATTTGGCCGAACGGACATTTGGCCGACGGACATTGGGTCAACGGACATTGGGTCGACGGACATTGGGCTGACGGACATTGGGCCGAGAGACATTTGGCCGACGGACATTGGGTCAACGGACATTGGGTCGACGGACATTGGGTCGACGGACATTGGGCTGACGGACATTGGGCCAACGGACATTGGGCCGATGCACATTTGGCCGACGATCATTGAGCCGATAGACATTTGGTTGAACGGATATTTGGCCGACGGTCATTGCGCAGACTGACATTGGGCCGACGCACATTTGGCCGACCGATATTTCACCGTAAAAATAGAAGTGCAAATACTAACAAGCAATACTTTAATTATTTTAATTAGCAGTATTATAAGGTAGAATAAGCGTAATAATTACCATTGAATTTCAAGTGATTAAATTACTAAATCTAAATTTAAAGTTATAAGTTTTCTTCATTCAATATTTTTTAATTGAAATTTGTATTTTTTTTAAACATTTGTATGTATTTGGGTAAAAAGTAGCACCTAATTATTTAAATTCGTATAAAAGCTAGTTCATTCTGTTAAGTTAATGATCATTAAAAGCGAAATTGAAAGATATTCCATAGCGTAAATGCTTAAGTTTTTTGCTGTTGTAAAATGTGTTTTTTTTTTCTCAAAATACTTATCATCTTACAGTAATATTTGAAGTAAAATATAATATATATAGAATACATTTTAAAAAAGCTTGTCAAAAAAAAAAGAAAATTTATAAATCGATACAGTAAATAAATATATATATATGTAGTACATTACGATAATAAAGTGTGACATACATGTAAGTACGCCACTACATTTTTGGTTAAATATTCATCGGTCAAATGTCCATCGGCCAAATGTTCGAGTAGCGAATGCAGTTGAAGCAATATATTAAACAGCAAATCTAGAAAAATTGGTCCAAAAGAATTTTTGTAAAGTAGAAATAAAAACTCGTCTAAGAAATTCAGATTAAGCTGAGAGGATATGCACATGAGCATACGCAGGCGTATTTGTAAGTTTTTTGTGTGATCCATTTTGTTGAATCTCAATTCCCGATTCCAATAGAGGTTTAGGTTTTTTTTCCTATTACGATTCCAAAATATAAACGGATGCACGCAAAGAAATACTTAATATGTGAAGATAATTTTGCCTGAGTACCAGTTAAGGTCAGAGTCTATTTGCACACGCATAAAAATCGGACGACTGGTCAAATAGAAAATCAACGAAAATTAACTTTTATACATTCAAGAAAAATCGGAAGCAAAAACAAACGAAACAAACAGAAAGAAAATCGTAAGTAAATATGACTTTGACCCAAAACTAAGTTAATACTGACTTTCACTCACATTCAGATGCAAATACACACAAAGTTGATATAGTAATGTATAGAAATGCACATATATATATATATATATATATATATATATATGTGTGTGTGTGTGTGTGTGTGTGCATGTATGCATACGTGTGTGTGTCTGTGTCTGTTTCCATGTATGCATATGTGCGTATGTGTATACATACATATATACACACACACACACACACACACATATATATATATATATATATATATATATATATATATATATATATATATATATATATATATATACATACATATATATCTATATCTTATTATTAAAAACGTAGGTTGTGTGTGTGTGTGTGTCTGTAACGTTTATATGTTGGATCGAATTTCCTACATTTTTTAGCCGTTTCAACAAAACTTCACAGGACTACATAAAATTACCTTGTGGTGGTTCTAACGGGGCCGAAAATGGGAAAAATATAGTTGTTTTTTAATAAAATCAATTTGAAAACACGATTAAGACATATCGTGAGAATGAAAGGGGGACAACTCACCCACGAAAATGTAAACAAAAGAGCATAGCATGATTAAAAAGACGCTGAACTTGACGAAAACAAAATTTTATCGTCTAATGTTCATATTATTATTAAAGAGGAAAGATCAAAGTATTTTGGGGGTATTTTTTTACATTTTTTAATCGTTCCTAGCACGTCTGAAATTTTCGTTAAAAATATTGTTATTTTGGTCAAAAAAAGGGCAGATAATCATTTTCAATCATTTTTTCGATTTGATAAAAAAAGATTAAAATCTTACTTTGATATTCTTTTAAAAGTCAATTTTCATTTTTTCAAAACTGATTTTAATAAAAACAGATATTATACTGTTTATTTAAAATATTTCGAACCAAGCTTAACTTAGCTTCTGCGCCGAAAAAATGTAATTTGAAAATAAAACAAAGCAGGTCATAACCTTTCGCGTCGCTTGACGATTGACGAAAGGCACATTCATGACGTTTAGATAACTTACGGGAGGAGAATTCTTTCTACGGATGGAAGGAAGTGAAATTATTTAAGTGAACAAATTATTTACCTTGTTACCTTTAAGGAAAACTTTCAGCGCTCTAATTTTTTTATTTTTTATTTTTTATTTTATTTTTTTGTACTTAGCTTTCATTTTTACGTTTACGATGCTTTATGGAAAATATAAAGAAATTAAAAAATAAGACTGTTAATAGTGAGATTAAATTTCATAAGAAAAAGGTATCTAATTAATTTAGGTACCTTTCTTATGAAATTTTATCAGAAGTGTACATAAAATACTATAATTTTATGTACATTTATTACATTTTACTGTGTTATTTGTATTTCCATTCATTTTATTATTAATTTTGATATTTCATTTATGGAAAAATGTCATAACTGAGATTAATATAAAAATAAGATCATATAAATTAAAGTTTAGCAGTAGTTAAATTTCATAAGATGATACTGTTACTTGTAGGTACCCTTCTCAGTTGAAATTGAAAACTCAAATTAACTTCTCCATACATGTTTCGCAAAAGTAAAGGGCTTAACAGCGGAGAACAATGCTGAACTCAAATAATGCAACTAAATTGTATTCTGGTTGGTCTTCCGTACTTGATAATTACTGTCCGACTATAAACACAAAAATTACATTTCTTAATTACCATGGCTAATCTGATTGGTCCAAATTATACAATTTTCAAAGCGCTAGACAATGACAATCTCACACGGACATTTTGAAAGGTTGATGTTGCTTTTAACTAATGTTAAAATATTTTTAAAAATTCAATTTAAACATTTTTTGAAAATCTTTTTAAAATTAAAGAAATAAGAAATAATTGTATTAAAAATTCAAATTTTCATGAAAAAATTTTTTTGCTTTCAGAAAATATTGTCCATATTCATAAAAACAAATTAAAACAAATAAAAGCATTTGAAACTAAATAATATATTTGTTTTATTGAGTTTTGTATGTTACAATTCACAGCTGATTTTCAGGTACGTTGGCCAAAAAACAAAAAAACAAAAGAAAAACATGATTTGCATTCTTCAAAGCCTTGTGCATTTAACGATTGTAATCACTAAAACCGATGGTCTCGAATTTCTAGAGTTTTTCATAAAATTAGTTATGGTGGTGTTAATAAATATAAAAAAATATTTCTGCCATGACTTTAATAAAAAAAAACATATTTATAATAATTTCGATCATCTGTGAATAATTTCTGAAAGTTTCATTAACATCTAACAATTATTTTTATTTTTGCAAGATTTTCCAAATTAATGTGTGTAAATACAAAAACTGCGCTAAAATTATCTGTTATTTACTACCCCTTTGTTGCGACAAAGAGAAACAAGGTTTTTAAATCAAAATTTAAAATATTCTAAAAAGATGGAAAAATTTTTTTTAAAATAATTAAAAAAAATTTAGTCTATCCTCTTCATAAAAAAAAAATAAGCATTTTGACGATAAAATTTTGTTTTGATAAACTTTGGCGTCTTTTTTCATCAGACTATGCTCTATGTTTTAGCGATTCCGTTAAAAACCCAGTTGTTTATTTGTGTGTGTGTGTGTGTGTGTGTGTGTGTGTGTGTGTGTGTGTGTGTGTGTGTGTGTGTGTTCCTTTATATATGGGATCGGATTTCTTACATTTTCAGCCGATAAAACAAACATCCATTTTTTTCGGCAGGTAGTATTTCTTATTGTCTTGCACGTTTTTCTTTATTTACATTCAGAATGCTTTAAAATTCCATTTACAAGACAATTGTTTATAATAAAATTCTATTCACCAATCGATAGACTCATAACGATTGTAAACAATGTTTTGTTTGAATTTGGGTTTGACCAATTCGTAAAAAACAAAAACAAAAAAAAACTAATTAAGACATGCGTGTCCGTCAACCTTAAACAATAATCTTTGTCAATTTTATTTTTCAGTCTTTATGATGGTCGATACTTGATCGATCTCTTACTGTTACATCCCTGGGCAACGCCGGGCTCTACTGCTAGTATATATATATATATATATATATATATATATATATATATATATATATATATATTGACTGTGTATCTTACTCTCTACGGCTAGATATACCAAGTTTAAGCTAAATATTCTTGGAATAAGAATATATTAATATATGTGTTTATTTTATGTGTACCATCGTTTCCCGTTTCTCGCCAATATTTTAAGCATTTCATATAAACATTATACACGGAAATACAGACTCACATTTTTAGGAAGCTATTTCATGGTCTAATTTCTTCGAAGATTTTGGAAATTCTTCCAAAATTAGTATACATTTCTACATTTACACAAGTGCACAGGTACGTGATGCTATCCAAATTTCAACAATGAACGTGAATTCGCTTTAGTACGTGATTTTCTGTTATCCTTAGTGAGCAATTTAATATTTGCAGCAGACGTTGGGAACTAATTTTTATGGTAACTTTTTACGTAATCAAATTCTTTGAAATCTACGGCAGAATCTTCTACCCTACTTATCAATCATGCAGTGTATATGGGCGAAGTTTCATTTACTCGTCTGTGTCTAACAATCTCACTATATATACAGATGCTCATATATTTGATTCGTTTTAAATCGAAAAAGAGGCAACAATTAATTAATTAATAACGCCGACATAAATGATTGATAGTTCGATCGTATGACAGACTGATTGGATGTGGATATCTACCTTGGGACAAGATTGAAATATTTAATGAAGCGGGTCTGCATTGATGACATGTGCTAATAAGAAGAACGTCTGGCTATAATTAAAGGCAGACAAAAGAACAAATACAAATGAATCTAGCGAGAAATGAAAGATTAGATCGATGAGAGCAAAATGGTGGTAGAAAGGAGAATGGAAAATAAAGAAAAACAGAATAAAAATGAGAAAAAATAAATAAAAAATGATGTAATGAATAGAAAGAATAAAAAGATGAAAAAGAAGAAAACAAAGGCAAAGCAAATGAATGAAAGGGGAAGAGAGAGAGTGAGACAGAGTGAGACAGAGAGAGAGAGTGAGACAGAGTGAGACAGAGAGAGAGAGAACATCACATGACACAAAACAAATAAATGATAGACGCAAATAATTGAAAGAAAATGTAAGAAAATAATTTCCAAGCCAAAGTGCTAATCCAGTTCGGAGAGCGCGGACTGCAACAGGATTAAAAAAGGTCAATAAAGCGAAGACAAGTGACAATCTGGTGAGAGAATAATGTAGACCGACCAAATTAAATGAATATGCATAATAAACGGTTGAGGGAGGGGGAGGATTCTGAACAAGGTTTGAGAATATGAAAAGGTAAGCACCAAATAAAAGCAAGTCAATAAGCAAAATATAAAATAAAAGTAACAGAATAATAGGGAGACTTATGATGATAAGACGATACAAAATTAACGTCTATTGACGGCAAATAAATAAGATGATGACTTCGAAAATAATAAAAAGGCAAATAAAAAAAAACATGTGAATGTAGACGAATGAAGATCAAAGTGAGATTATTCAACAAAAATAAGATAATTCTTTCTCTATTTTGCCATAAGGTTATTTAGTTACTGACATGTAGTGACTAATGTTTACAATACTATGAACAGGTCATTGATCAAATGAGGAAGTTCTACTTTGAAGAGGATATAAGGCGAAACTGTTGATGACAGAAAGAGACAATGGAAATTCCTGAGACACATAATAAGAAAAGGCAGTTTGAAAATTTAACAATAACAAGACATTTTAAAGACAAAAAATTCACAGCAGATCTACGAGCAACTAGAATGGTTTGTGCAAACGGATGGAGGACAAAGGTTTCAAAAACTGTGGATTTTAAAGTAGAAAATTACTGTTGATACTAACAGAATCTTTTCAGCGATTAGTTAACATGACTGCTCGAATGTTGTTCAGTTTTGCAAATGGAAATCAGTAATTTATAAAGGACGGCGACAGACATCGATGAAAAAGTTAAGAGATTATAGAGAGAGGTAGATGAATTTTTCATACTAAAGTTCAACCAATACAAGTCATGAGAGCCACTCAAAGTAGGAGGGTTACTGCTAAAATGGTTATGATGAATAAAGTATAGGGTATAAATGAAAGACGAGGTGATAGGGGATGAATATTAGGATGAAGGGTAACGAATCAATTTTGTTTTTAAGATGTGATGATTGTAGATTTCAAGGAAGCACCAAAGTGGGAGTCTGTAACGTGAAGTTTTTTTGGAAAAGAAATTGTGAAACTCTTTCTTTATATTTGGAATACAAAGGAAATGTAGGTGATTTGACTCCATGAAATAGCATAGTGTGCCACAGATAGATAGATAGATAGATAGATAGATAGATAGATAGATAGATGTCCGGGGCATACTACCACCGACCACCCCCAACTGAGCGCAGACCTGATTGGGGGCATTGGGTGGAGCTCTCTGACTCTCGCTATTTATATACGTTAGAAATTAAACGAAGCACAACTGACTTTTTTCAAGGATTTGGACGTCATTCGCCGTTATTTTTTTTTTGTCTAAATACATGAATTACTTTTGTTCATACTGTGTCTCAAAAAACTATATAAAATTAATTTTTGTTTTTTTATCTATAAACTTTTTTTATCTATAATGTTGAATGGGTCATTCAATATTATAACAAAAAAGTTGATGTTAAAAATTGCCGCATTTTTTATTTATTTAATGATGGAATGATATGTCTCTAATTTCTATTTAAATACGTTGTATATATATTCGATTATTCTAGTTAAATTGATTACATACACTTTTCTAGTTGAATTGATCCAAGAACCTTGCACCGGCACTAGATAAATTATCTATCTATCTATCTATCTATCTATCTGGATAGATAGATAGATAGATAGATAGATAGATAGATTAGAGAGGAAATACAGATAATAAAATGTAATGATCCGACAGTCTGACACGGAAGCAAACAATAATGTCAGTAGAATTAAATAATAATAAAAAAAACGATATGGAAAATAAAAATCTGAAATTAAAATAGTTTGGAAAGAAATAAAATAATAATTTCAGATCAGTAAAAACGGGATTAGATCTTTAGAACAATAAGAAACAAAGAAGAAATCCAACTGGTCGACAGATGTGAAAAGATAATGAAAGGCGCCAAAGGACATATAAGATGATCAACAATCGAGTGGTTGAGGGAAGGAGAAAGAACAGTTCTTTTCTACTTGACTGGAAAATCCTAAGTTTAAAGAGGAGAAGAAGGTTAAAATAGAAAAATTATATAAAGAGAGAGAAAAAAGTTGAGACAAAGATAGGGTGAGAGAGAGAGAGAGAGAGAGAGAGAGAGTGAGAGTGAAACAGAAAGATTCGGCAACTACAACAAAGATGGTGAACATAACAGGAACGTAGAGAGAAGTTAGGGGCAGGAGGCATTTTTGGCAGATCGACGTAAATTTGACCCCAGCAATACCCTTGGATGACCAGTTCTTTTCTAAATTATCTCACTAAACTATAAACTAGCCTTTCTCAAACAGCGTTCCGTAGAAACATCGACCTTCGCTGAGCTGTTGTGAGCATTCTGCAAAATTTTATACACGAATGAAAAAATAATCTCCTGAGTATTGTTTTGAGTTGTGAGATTTTTTTTAATAACAAATAGGTAGCCCCGTCTGAATATGATAGGCAGGAAAAATAGCAAACGATATGCCAATCGTAAATGATTGACAGATCGAAATTAATTGTGACAAATTCAAGTTCTGTTTGGAAAACTATTAGAAAATAAGTTTTCAGATTTTTTATATTTATCAGTCTGCCTCTATTGAATATTTCGAAGTGTAAAGGTCATTGTGTCTAATTTTTCATCTCTATATTTTAATCATACTGACATCTTTATTTTCTCATTATGTTTATAAGTAAATACATTATATAAGTATATATAAGTATATGCATTATATAAATATATACATTAAAAAGAGCAAATAACACTTTTTAATTTGTGGTGTACATTCTGCCTTGAAAGACTATTGGGGCTTAAATTCACACCTGAACTCAAGTGAAACATAGTGCATACAATCCATCGCAGATAAAAAGGTTGATTCCTTGTACTGCTTCAGTAAGTTAAGCAACGCCGAGACCGGTCATTATCTAGATGGGTGACGGCTTGAGAATGTCAGGTGCTGTAAGCTTGTATGTGCGGGTGGTGTAATGGATAATGGATCGGAATTGTAAATCAAAGAGCCGAGTTCCAATTCCATTCGGGTTCGTCATATTCACTTATCCGCAAATAAATATGTGAATGTTATGAATCCAGTTCTTCTACCCCACCTACGGGTTAAATAGTAGATCTTTCCTCATTAATAATCATCATTATCTCAAGAAAATCATTACAATCTTAAATTACTCCTGGTATTAAATAATAGCAGAAAGTTGAAAAGCCGTAAAAATCAAGAAATCAATATCATAAAAAAAGAAAGACCACACAGACACACACACACACACACATATATATATATATATATATATATATATATATATATATATATATATATATATATATATACATAGTGAGTTAGACAAACCTACCTAGGTTTCATCTAAACGGATCGTCAGGGAAAGTTTCCCTGACAATCCGTTTAGGTGAAACCTAGGTAGGTTTGTCTGGCTCACTAGGTTTATCTAGGTCTGCTCTACGGTTGTATTGAGCTCTTTTGTTAGTTAGTTGTTACTCGTATCGGGGTTTTTTCTTTTGGCTTCAGACCTGCATCTGTGCGATTTTTTTGTCGGCAGAAGTTCTGGTTTGTAGCTCTTTCTTTTTTAAAACCTTTTTTCCCTCGAGATTGATTTGATTAGCAAATCAAAAATTCGAGGGTTTTTCGAAACGAGTCTAGTTATCTATGTCTATATCTATATCTATCTATCTATCTATCTATCTATCTATCTATATATATATATATATATATATATATATATATATATATATATATAGTTCTGACGTAAGTTATATTAATGCGTTAAAGCGCTCAATATCAGGGATAGAGCGCATGTAAATATAAAATTGATCATTGATCTATGTATACTTTTAAAATATATTTAATAGCATTGTTATATTACATCGAGCACTGTTTTATTAACACCAACACTCTATGTACAAGATATTATGCATATATATATATATATATATATATATATATATATATATATATATATATTATTATTATTATTATTAGAAATTATTATTATTAGTATAAGAAACTATAATCGCTCGGAAAAACTTCGATGTATTGATTTGCAAATAAACGAGCCAATACCAAAGGGGAAAAAACGGTATAAAAAAGAAAGAACCAAGAACATGTACGTTAACCGAAAATAATCGTCCAGCATACGAGTTCAAGGCCCATATAAAAATAACCCGATGCGAGGACCCAAAACAACTAAATAAAGTGCTCAGTAAAATGAGTAGAGCAGACTAGCCTTCCCTGACGATCCCCATGGTAGGTTTATCTGGCTCTCTAGATTTAATATATATATATATATATATATATATATATATATATATATATATATATATATATATATATATATTTGTGTGTGTGTGTAGAGAGAGAGAGAGAGAGAGAGAGGGTGCGATGGATAAATTGTTGTATAAATTACGCAAAAATGAAAATTTAATAGATATATTAATGAAAATTACACAAAAATATCTTGAAATACAATAGAGTATATCGATTAAAGTAAAATCGTAATTGGTTACAACCACAGCCTCCAGACGACTTCGGAATCTCCTGCAACTCTTCTGGACAGTTTCCTTGTTGAACTATATAAACGTTACAATCAGACCATCTTTCTTGTTGCAAGGAGTTTTATTGGTTACTTGCTCAACTGCGCTTCACGCATAATAATCAAGAAGGTTGCAGTCTCGAGAGTTAGGTGACCAGATATAAGGGGTGAAGTGTTGACGCAGAAATTTCTGACGATTGGGTTTTCCTGCTTGTTGTGGCATGGTTAAGGGTCCTGTTGCCAGGCATATGGTCTTCCATCAGCCACCCTCTTAACCCATGAGAGCACTACCGCCTCAAAGAACCTGATACGGGCCTCTGTGCTGAGTCTGAGGTTATCACCAAAAATTCGGAAGTTCTTTTCATATAAGAACGATCAGAATGATTTTTCTGAATTGTCGTACCTTAATAATCACCATGTTCGTACTGGAGCTTCCAACGCGAATGCCAGTCAGTATAACATGCTGTTTCCAAATTTCTAGCTGTGTGAATTGCGTCATGGTGCTCTTTTTTTCACAGATGGTCTCCAATTGACCGTGCTATACTGTGAAGTCGAAAAAATCAAAAACAAAATCAATAAACCCAAATAAATGAAGTAAATAATAAACAAATTAACAAACCATTATGATCAAAATATTAGTTAGACTAGAAAAATCAAAAATCGGACGAAAAAATAAATATAACTATTATATAACAATTAAAATATACAGTATAATAAATAAATCATAAATAAAAAACAAGTAAAATAAATTGATTTAAATTTATCCAAATAAATAAATAAACTAACCGATCCAGATAAAGTAACCGTTAGAAAAAACAAATAAAGACAATAAATACATGAAGTAATAAACAAATAAAAAACTGCTTCCGCCAAAATAATAGTTAGAATAAACTACAACAGTCAATCCCAAAATTGAATAAATAGCTTTAATTATCTTCCCAAACCAAAGCAATATTATTAAATAAGTGATATAATCAAATTTTTACTACGTTAATAAAAACGCCGATCAAGATAAAAAAAATAAATAAATATATAATATAAGAAATAAAATTAAAAATAAAAATAAAAATAAAAAATAAAAAAATAAATAAATACAAGCAAAATAATTTAGCCCAAATAAATAAGCAAATAAACGACTTCCGGTAAAATAACCGCCAAAATAGACTACCCACAATGCACCACTGACCTGTATATATAAATAGCCGAGAAGAATAACAGCACTCGTGGCCTGGCGATTGCGTCTAGCATGAAACAGACTGTCACGTCTAAATGTTGACTTCTATGTTCACTTTTATATTTACATCTCTATCTCTATCTCTGGTATTGAGCACTTTATCCCATAAATATAGCACACCTTAAGACTATATATATATATATATATATATATATATATATATATATATATTGTTTTGAATATTTTCATGTAAATTTCATCTTTGCTTTCCCATTATATTTGAGCTTTTATGTTTCTACTGACCCTTGTCAATTTTCATGTATTTAAATAATAACACACACACAAACACACATACACACATACACTCATATATAACGGAAAAAGAAAATTTTATTCATTTTTTGGGTTTTTCCAGCGTTCTGATATTTTTGCATTGTAGTCA